GATCTAATTGATGATCCTCTGAAACGTAGAGGCTGAGTTTCGGAGCCCATACGGCATTACCTTCTACGAGTACTGACCTTGCGGTGTCACAAACGCTGTATAGTACTGCGCCTGCTCGTCTATCGGAATCTGCCAATATCCTCTAAGCATGTCGAGGATCGATATGAAGTTTGCTCCTGCAACTTCAAGCAGTAGATCACTCGCCCTGCTCATGGGGAAGGCATCTGGTTTGGTGATAGCGTTCAACTTTCGATAGTCTATGCACAGTCGCATACTTCCATCCTTCTTGGCAACACATACCACTGGATGCGCGTGACTACTTTCCACTGGATACACTAAGCCCCATTCTTCAAGCTCGTGCACCTGGCGTTCCACTTCTCGTCTGAACGTCATAGGAACCCGGTACGGGTACGCACGCTGAGGTTCGGACCCCTCTTGCAGTGTGATTTTATGCTTTCCAACGTTGCACATTCCCGGCCTTTCAGAAAATACGACGCGGTTTTTCTCTACCAATGCCTTCAGCTGATACTGCTGGGGTTCCGTCAAATGAGCGACCGTCGGAAGCTCACCGCTTTCCTCATTTCCCTTAGCAATCGGAAGGGTAGGAACGTCACCGAACGCTCGATCCTCCTCGAAGATCACGCCCACTACTGACACCCGAGAGTGATATGCCCTTAGGTTGTTTGCGTGGACAGTTCTACGGCTTCGATCCTCGAGCTCCACTTCATAGGAATACGGACGCAACCGCCGAACTATCGTGACCGGTCCGGTCCACTTTGGCCTCAACTTACCCTCTTTTTCTCTTTCCGACCACAAGACCTGGTCCCCATCACTGAACTGCTTATCCCTAGCCCGTAGGTTGTACCGGTTAGCATAGGCCTCCTGAGTCAGCGCACCTGTCTCCTTCGCACGTTCGGATGCACTCTCGAGGCGCTTTCGCAGCTGAGACAGATACGTTCCTGCTGAGACATTCAGCGAGTCTGGCACCGTCCACTCACCCGTCCATGTTTTCTGAAGTATAGCCAGTGGCCCGATCGGCACCCTACCGTACATCATCTCGAACGGTGTTTCACCGGTTGTAGCGTTGGGAACCTCGCGATACGCCCATAAGAGGTACGGTATGTACCTTCCCAGTCGCGCCCATGCTCCTGAACTACATGACTTAACATCACCTTGAATGTTGCGTTCCACCTCTCCACGAGTCCGTTGCTCTGAGGGTGGTCCGGTGTAGAGAACCGCGGCGTCGCTCCTATAGCCTTGCCATAAGCTCCTGAGTGAGTTTTGCCGTAAAGTTAGTTCCCTGGTCCGAGCAAACCGTCACAGGAACTCCCATTCTCGAGAAGATTTCTAAGAGAGCGTCACATGTTGCCTTCGCGGTCAGTGATCGAAGGCAGGCGACTTCGGGCCATCTCGTGCAGTAGTCCACGACACAGAGCGCATAGCGGTGACCCCTACCTGAAGGGGGTCGAGCGGGCCAATAATATCCATATTCACCATTTGGAAAGGCGCGTCCCGTCTCGTGAGCGGCGCAATAGGCACTCGGTCTGACTGTCGCGCGGGAGACCTCACTTGGCACGTGTGACAGCCTTGACATCGGCGGCCACGCCTGGCCAATAGAACGACTGCTTGATGCGCTGAAGTGTTTTACGCTCACCGAGATGCCCAGCCCATGCAGAATCGTGTGCCATTCAGAGCACCTCCTCACGTCGACCCTTAGGGATCACCAACTGGTTGCATGATCGACCGGCCATTGGTTCACAATGGTATAGAAGCTCGTCCATTACAACCATTCCATGCGTTCCCACGCGAGCTTGCTTCCAGGCCTCATCCAGTGTCGTGTCGCTCCCCTGACATCGCCTAAACTCATGCCTGGCAATCGGATTCGCCCCACTGCCAGTTTCTCGTTCCTCCGTCATTACAGTCAGCACTTCTGCTTCTAACGACTGCCTCGCCGATCTCCCCACCCTTCGCAACTGTTTCACTTGCCACTGATCCCATAGGCCGAGGCGCGGAGTCAGTGCACACTCGCTCGCTGCGAAGCTGCTCATAATCAGAAGGTGTGATCAAAGCGTCAACCCCCTCAACCAACCTCTCCGTAAGGGCGCATAACACCCCTTGACTTCCCGGTTGCAACGAGACATAAGGGCCCGCCGTGACGGCACTAAGTGGCTCATACGCAAGCTCCGCGGTCACCCGATCGCTGAACGCACTCGTTAGCTCACTCCTGGAGCCCGCGGCCTCATAGTCAAGGAGAATAGACTGTCGAATCACACTAATGTCGGCCCCGGAGTCCACGATTGCAGTAATATCCACATCGCCACTTTTTAGCGACACCGTGTGTCCGCCACTGCCCTCCTCTGATCTCGCCGTTCGGGGCTCAACCTCAAATTCTATTGCACTGGCCATAGCTGCCAACGTGCGATCCTTTTCCTCGTTACGTTTTCCCATTCGGTTGCTGGGGTTGGTGTTACGGGTAGGGCAATCTTTTGCGACATGACCCAGCTTGTTACAGCCGAAGCAGCGGCGCCCGAACGGTGCGGCTGACCGTCCGTCCTTGTCGCGTGCTTCTGTATTCGGCTTTTTTGTCGCAGCGCCCCTGTCTGTGGCCGAACCCCCCTTCGATCTCAGGCTTTTATCAAAGTCCTCTGAGAGCTGAGCAATCGCGCTCGGGGTCAGGAAGCCTCCCTTTTCCTTGAGTATGACGTGGGCTCTAGGGTCTGGTGCAAGACACTCCTTCATGCGGTCGCTAACCATCAGCTGTTGCAGCTCCTCCATGGTCTGTACCTTGGAGCTGTTCAGGTAGTATTGCAAGTAGTTCTCGAGCCTGACCGAAAACTGCTCCCACGTCTCCTTGCTACCCTTCCTAGAGCTCAGAAAGAGACGTCTGTATTCAGCCGCTGACAGCCGCAGACCCCCCAATACTTTGGATTTGAGCGTTCGATAGTCCTTGCGCTCTTCTGCGGAGAGCTTGGCAAGCATGCCCCGAGCCCTCTCACTCAACCGCGGCAAGACCATCCCCGCTCACCATTCGTTGGGCACACCATACGAGTCTATAGGGTCGCCTCAACATCCTCAAACCATCCGGGCACAAACGGCTCATGAGTAGGCATGGGGTCGAGGACGCCCTTCATTAGGCTGGCGTATTTCATCCTTCTATCTACCTCAGCACTCCCAAGTCCGCCTCTCCCATCCGTCACGGACACCGCGCTGGAATTTTGGAGGCGTTGAGTTTCTAACAGAAGCCTTTGCTTCTCCATTTCTGCCTCTGCGATTTGTAATTGCAATTGCATTAGTGACATCTTGTCTGCCACCGACATCTCCGAGCCACTACTGCTACTATCACCCTCAGCGTTGACCGCCGACGCACGACCTCCGTCCTCCCCGTTCATACCGCCTGGTTTGCCCTTGCCACTACGTAGATTATACCGATCTGTCATAGAGCGCGCAAGTCCCAGCAAACGAAAGGGCACCTACCAGTGAACGCGATGCGGTTCCGGTGCTCCTCCACCCAGGTCCGTATGAAGAGACGGTGCTTGTCTGTCGGACGCTGTTCGTGAATTCTTCGCGCCCAGTGTTCCGAGATCCCGGCTTCCAGCAGACGTCTCGATGTCACCAGCACTCCTCGATCAGCAGCCTTGCATACGCATCCTGCCGACTGCACCAGTGAGGTTCTTTTCTTCTCTGATGATGATGTTTGATGCTGATGCTAGCTGCTTGATGTCAATTTTGAAGCCTTGCCTCTTGTCGAGGATGTCGAATAACGCATCACGGAGACTTGACGTCAACAAGAACAAACACGTTTACTAATTAAGAGCGAATATAAAAATTACAAGAGTAGAATTTTACAGAACAGTCATCCTTGCCGGACACCGCATGAGTCTTCCGGCAAGACCCGCTCCGGGAGCGTATATCTGGTCACTCGAGCCCGTACAAACACTTCCCTTCTCCCAGTCCTCCTCGGGTTTAAAAACCCATGGCCGCAACTTGTTCCACCCAATCACAGTCCAATACCCCTCCTATTGGGTGCAGTTGGCAACGCCCTCATAACATACATACGAGAGGTCACGCACCCCCCCTCTGGGGCCGGAACGAGGACCCTTGGGTGATCACTGGTCTCTGAACACAGGGAGGGTCGCAGGAAGAGGGCCCGAACGGGCACCCTTTTCCACGTGTGGCGGCGTCGGTGTAGCCACCCGCCAAGGCGGTTCTCCAAAGAGAAGATGACGAAGCCGACACGAGTCAGAAGCCGAAAGCAGTATCAGGAATCACGTATCTCCCCCCGGCCTGGCTCCCCTTGAGAAGCAAAGAGAGCCGTCAGGACGGAAAGACGCGGTGCAGGGAGGACCGGAAAGGCGAACATCGTCGGGTAAGAGAAAGAAGAAAGGGACCCTGACGAGCCGATCCCAGATGCTGCCCGTTCGGCACACGTGCAGGGTCTTTCCAGGTGCACTGCCACGGGCGCTCAATGATCGGGACCCGACACCGCCGAAGAAAACCCCTCACCATCCACCCTTCTGAGCCAAAGCCGCCGTGTATGCAAACAGAGAGCCGCCTTCGAGCAGCGGCTTCAGGACGCACCAAGCTCTTCAAATGGTGCGCCCTTTCGACCGCTGGCGCGCATTGCAACGACCTCACACTGGTCACAAAGACACCTATCCCAGTGCACTGCCCGATTACTGGGCGGGGAGTGTTTTACTGACTACGCATATTATCTCGCTACCATGCCTGGCCATGCATGTTATCTTGCTCGCTCGTTATCTCGTTATCAGCGGCCCATGCAATGTTCTTGGCGGAATGTCAAAAATGGCTAGCGTCGATATGGAGCGCGGTCGACGGTGCGAAATAGCGAAGTGTCCCACGAACAGCTGTCGCTGTAATAAAATATGAAGTCTCTCTGCATCCGAGCAGCGTACGTAACCAATTAGATGGCTGATTGGTCGACCAAATCCGGTACTTTTGACCTTCTCGGAATCGTTTGTTTTGTTTTACAGCAAACGAAGATGACAAATTTCCTAGTGCAAATCCTCGGAGTCACGCTGTCCCTGGCCACCAGCAAGATAGTTCTTCTCGTGGCTGTCGGTCTACTTTGCCTGAAACTCTACCTGGTTCACAGTAAGGGCGTCTGCAGGTCCACACAGACGCTAGAGGGCAAGACGGTCATCGTAACGGGAGGCAACGCGGGTGCGTAAACCCTCTTTTTATTACATATAACGTGTGTAGCGTTACAACCGCTAATAAAAAAAGAACGGCAGGACGTGTGTTTCGAAAGCTTGACCTCAGCACGCGCTCCGTGCCTTCCGCCGGGCTTGAACTGCGCGCCCGAAACGCCGAAGCCTTTCTCGAATGCAGCAAGCTTGCGCTAGAGGCGGGACGACTGAATCTTCTTCCTGCCGTTTTCTTATTTTCAGTAATTACAGTAATTAAAAAAAAAAATCGTCAAGAAGGTGGCGCGCGGAACTGTACAAATATATCTCACACTAAATTTAGCTAACTTATGCCATAGCTTCCTCTATACTGACGAAGCCTGGCAGATCGCCACGAGAAGCGGCCGCCGAACTTGAACAGGTAGAGCGGCAGACAACGGATGAGAGGAGAGCCACGTGACAGGCGCCCCGCTGCGGCGAGACGCCGAAGCACACCTCTACCGACTGATAGAATGTCCGCTCATGCTCATCGCGTTCCTCGCGCTACCGCTTCTTTTCTCGTCGGGTTTGAAAACCATGTTTCGTGTCCTCGCTGCTGCAAAAGCTGTGCGCTGACGTCGAGGTTCCCCGAGAAATGCTCTGTGCTACCAGATCCTCGCGCTCCAAATCTGCGACCGGGCACTCTGTGGCTCCGTCGTCGAACTGCCAGGCTTTGTGAGTATAGAGAAGGTTATGCTTGTACCCTCCCGCTAAATTTAGCAGAAGCGTTTTCCTGATATATTTAACCCGAGCTTGGGAGTCACACTAGGTTTCGCTCAGTTTAACAGACTAATGTCTTGCCGCTAAATTTGGCGGGAAATCCTGAATTTCGGTATATTGCCAGGCCAATTAAAATTACCCGCTAAATTTAGTGGGCGAAACGCTTTCCGCTATAATTAGCTGGTAATTTTAGTAATTGTAGGATCACACGCACATTTAGGTTTAATCCCTTAATTTAGCAGTATTTAGCAGGACCCGCTAGCTCAGAAGAGCTCACAGGTTTACACACACGCCCAGAGGAGCTCAATACGCGCGTTACATTCTCTGCCACCTGATTTTATCACTAGTCATAACTCTTTAGCTACACTTATTTTTGTTTTCTTACCGTCAGTGGCCACTTACGAAACGCAGAGCATGCGACAGCTTGTAACAGAGCCTGTGATAACTTGTGACTGAGCCTGTGACAGCCTGTGGCAGTCAAAGCCTGTGGCCACTTAAAAAAAAAAAATCGCATAAGTCAATGACGGTTCGGGCTTCTTGGTTGAGGATTCGTTTTTCGGAGATCATAACAGATGATGCCACAACCCTAAATGGGTTTTGGGGCGCTGATCAGATCATCCGGACACGCCACGCTGGACATTTCTTAAAGGCCGACGACCAGACTCGAGATTCCGCAAGCCAGAAGATTCTCCTTACTATGGGGAGGAAAAAACAGCCGACGGTGGACGGGGCAGAAGGTTGGAGAGGAGGAAGCGGAGGAAAAGCGGAAAACGCGAACTGGTCGTCGGTCTTAAAGCTGTCAGTGAAAACAGAAGACTTAGAAGACTCGTGTAACCCTCAGGGATTGGGAAGGAAACGGCCAAAGAGCTGGCGCGGAGGAAAGCGCGGGTCATCCTGGCCTGTCGGAACCTGGAAAAGGCCAACAAGACGATGCAGGAGATCTTCGAGGAGACTCAGCAGAAGGTAGTCATCAAGCGCCTCGACCTGGCCTCCCTCAGGTCGGTCCGGGAGTTTGCCGACGACATCCTCAAGACGGAGTCTAGGCTAGACGTCCTGGTCAACAATGCCGGCCTCATTAACGGTGAGCTTCACCATAAAACGAGCCACATGTACAACTTACGCAGCCTGAGAGTCTCCTCGTGCTCACACAAAAATTGTAAAAAAACAAAAAAAAACAATTACGAGTCAGTATTTGTAATTATTCTTACCATGGGGTCCTGATCGTTTGATGCCCATACACAGTGCCTTGTCCCGCGAAATGGTAGAAGTAATATATTTTTAAAGTACGGACAAAAAAGTGGAAGCAACAAACGATGTTATATAGTAGTTAAAAAAAAAGAAAAACGTATCGAATTAACTTTGTTTTTCATTCTTACCATATCCTTTTAAATTGTTAAAAAATACTTACTGAAAATGGCACAAGCCTACGCAATAGGTTAAACGCTCAAGCTTTGAAGCAACATCTTCATGTCTTGGGATATGCATAAAAAGTTCGCTCCGCGCTTGCCGCATGTCCTTTCTGTGCGTGCAAAGTGCAGACAACTAGGATACTACTTGGAGGGCACTGAGGGACGACCTTCGCCCTGCCTCGGGACCTTGAGTTTTTTGTACTTGCTTCTATGTTTAGAGTGTCAAGAAAGGTTCGAACGAATAACATAATAACTAGGCGAGTTTCTTCAGAAACATTTACTTCATCTGTTGGCGGGAATTTAACCAACGTACTTTGTACTTTGACGTTCTACCCCTGCGTTACCGGAGCGGCTTAGAAAAGTATTATTTATGCTTCAAAATATCTGCACTCATGTGGCCACGAAACACGACACATGGGTAAAATATGGGTTACAAACCTTCTAAAGCTTAACGCGAGGGTTGAAGAAAACATAACGTTCCTTAATACTTCGCAAACGACAGACTGACGCAGAGCCTGTTGTGTGTTCCAAGTCTCATTCTCTAGCAGATTACCTCAGAGGCCTAAGGGGAAAAACGGGCGCATTAAATCCTAGCAGATCGAAGCAGGTCGACGCAAGCACACGACGTATTTTGCGTTAAATGAAAACTGGTGAAAACATATTTACGAATTTTCTGAGTAATTGTTATACATGTGCAACTTGTAACGCCTCTAAATTGTTGAATATGCCTCTGCCAGCTGCGCCATAGTACAAAAAAAAAAAAAAAAAAAAGAAAACGAGGAGGAAGAGAAGGGGAGGGTGGTCCCGTTGGGCTCTTTGCAGTTTTCAATTGTTCTTCGATATATAACACCTAATAGGTTACATTATGCCTTTATGACGCGTCTAAAACAATAACCAAAATGTCGATTTTGCAGCCTATCAATTATTTATCAATTCTATTTCAAAAACATGCAATTTTTAGATCTATACTCTGTACGTTACTCGCACTTATCTGCGTTGAGAATATTTTAGATAAATTAATAAACCAGCAAATATTGCTAGAATTTGTTATATGTAAACGAATAAGTGCCAACATACTTTGAAATCTCACATCCAGCAGCAGATGGTATTTTAAAGAAATTTCGGTAAGACAAACTTTCGCCTGTGAATGAACTAGATCGACACCTAGTCATTGGAGTTATGAGCCCAGGGTGTGCTGCAAGATGGTTAAATAAAAAAAAAGTATTTATAATTTTTATAATGGTACGCGCTTCCTTTTATATTCAGACAACTTAAATACGGTCGATTTTATTAACTTTTGCTAGCGTTACCAGGCAGCGAAGTTTACTATTTGTACTAATATATCCGTGAATGGCGATTCTGCCAGTAAAAACAAAAACAAACAAAAAAAACATGCAAATTGTTTAAAAAATCGGGACTCGTCGTAATAAAATAAGCGCGACCAGGATATATCTTTCTGCTAATTTCCACACGCGTTAAGGAGCATACTACGACTGTAGTTGGAGGCGTCGCACGTGCTCACGCTTGCAGAAAGAAGCGTTCTAAAGATAACTAAACATCTAAAACAAATAGCAAACTACACTTGCGTTCGTCAACATCTAATTTTTATAATTCACTTTGAATCCTTGATAAAAATACGTCGAGTGCGTGCATCACGTGTACTAAGATTTCTAACATGCTGGGAAATGCTTGGGTAATTTGGCAAAAGAAGTAGTATTCAAATATGCTCCAGGCTGAGATGTCCTTTAATTATTCAGGGAATATATAAACAGCGTTCGCGTAACATTGAGGATACATCCTTTTTCCAGATAGGAGCAAAGTGCAGCTCACTGAGGACGGCTACGAAGTGTGCTTCCAGACAAACTACCTCGGACATTTTCTTCTCACCATTCTGCTCTCTGGTAAGGAAAGTGTTTCTAGGGTGAAAATATAATTGAGATGTTTCATGACCTGCGGAAAAAAGAAATTGAAATGTTCTTTTTTTTTTCGTATTTCGTTCATTTGGAAAATTTAAAATCAGACGTCGATCGCTCCACCGCATTTTATGCTTTGATTTGGTATTTATGTGTCAGAGGGTTCGAGGGGCATACGTTTGGCTTACAATTCCGACGTTGAGTCATTTAAATGCGGCGGTCAGGAGGTAAAGAAGAATTATATATATATATATATATATATATATGGTGGCGGGAGGGGAGGCCGAAGGCGTGGGTATAAAACTGAGAAGAAAAAAAACCCTTAGTGAAAAACAGCAACAACGGACGATTTAATCTTCGACGTTTCGGCCGGAGTCCGGCCGAAACGTCGAAGATTAAATCGTCCGTTGATGCTGTTTTCCCCTAAGGAAGGCCGGACTCCGGCCGAAACGTCGAAGATTAAATCGTCCGTTGTTGCTGTTTTTCACTAAGGGTTTTTTTCTTCTCAGTTATATATATATATATTTATTTTTTTATTTATTTCAGTACCTTCAAGGCCCAGGGGGCGTTACAGAAGGGATTGGTGGAAAACATAAGAACAAACAACAGGTAGTAAATGCAGAAATTAAAACAGAGAATGAAAAATGCAGACAACGCCGGTTATTAAGAAAGTACATAACACTCAATGGCGGATCTGAAAGTGAAATCGTCGGTAATCATTGCGATGGAGGCGGGCAGGTGGTTCCATTCGTTACTAGTCCTTGGGATAAATGAATCGAAAAACAAGTTAGTCCGACAAAGTGGCACGCCTACTTTGTTATGGTGGTCCGAACGAGATGACACGTATGATGGCTCTGAAAAAAGCTCAGTTTTGAGGTGCGGGTTATAATGATACATTTTATGAAATAGCGTGAGTCGCGATATTTTGCTGCGCAGAGAGAGGTTCGGAAGTTTCAAGGTTGCCTTCATAGAGGATACACTAGATGAACGGGAGTAGTTCGACAAGACAAAACGCACGCTGCAATTCTGTATCGATTCTAAGTTATTAGTAAGAAATTCCAGGCCTGGGTCCCACACCGAAGATGCGTACTCCAGTTTAGAGCGGACGAGAGTTTTGTAGAGGAGAAGTTTTAAAGATGATGGTGCCATAGAAAAGTTACGACGCAAATATCCAAGCATGCGGTTAGCGTTATTTACTATATGTTTAACATGCATTTGCCAAGACAGATTAGCTGTTATGTGAACCCCTAGGTATTTGTATGACGTTACTTGTTCAAGTGCACTGCCTGAAAGTTGATAATCGTGAATGTTGCCACAAACGGTCTGACGCGTAATCCTCATTACTTTGCACTTGTTAGTATTTAGACGCATTTTCCAGATATCACACCAATTAGAGATTTTGTTAAGGTCAGACTGAAGCACATAGGAATCGGAACTAGTAGAAATGACTCGAAAAATGACGCAGTCGTCAGCAAACAACTTGATGGATGAGTTGATAGAGTTAGGAAGGTCATTAATGTAGATGAGAAAGAGAAGAGGGCCAAGCACAGACCCTTGCGGCACACCTGAAGTGACGGGGGACGAGGATGATTTGAAGTCGTTAGCAACTACAAATTGGGTTCTGTTAGACAAGAAACTTTCAATCCATGCGAGAATGTTAGGGTCAATATTTAATTTGCTTAATTTCAAACAGAGTAGCTGATGAGATACGAGGTCGAAAGCTTTAAAAAAGTCCAGAAATATGCAGTCAACATGAGATGCATTATCTAAAGCTGCAAAAAGTTCATGTGTAAATGAAATGAGTTGTGTCTCACAGGAGAACGTCTTACGAAAGCCGTGCTGGCATGATGTAACAAATGCATTACTTTCAAGAAAACTAACAAGGTTAGAATAAATTATATGCTCTAAGATTTTACAAGGAATACTAGTTAAAGATATTGGTCTGTAGTTAAGGGGAGAATGCGAAATTCCTGATTTAAACGAGGGTGCCACCTTGCCCACCTTCCAATCGCCAGGCACAATGCAGGTATCTAGGGACTGTGAAAAAGGTTTTGACAAAATTTTGGAGGAATATATACTTCGGTGTTCTTCAGGAACTTTAAGTTAATATCATCGGGTCCAGATGACGAAGAAACTTTTCAATTTCGGATTAAATGCATCACACCAACCCAGCCAATCAGCATAGGATCTATAGGAAAAAAAGCTCGAATCAGCAACATCAGGAAGACAAACGGAGGGTAGATTCAAGAACGACATTGCAAACACTTCATTAAACACAGAGCAGCAATCAGACTGAGGAATAGTCACACCATTGTCGTTGTTTAGATATATCTTATTCTGTTTCGGACCACCAACGACGTTCCAGAACTTTTTAGCGTTGTTTATCAGTAACGAAGGAAGTGTGTTATGAAAGAAAACCCTCTTAGTTTCTTTCACTGCGCTTTTAAACAGAGCTGTAAATTGACGATAAGCACACCAGTTGACATCACTCTGACTCTGTTGGGCTTTGCGATATAATCGCTTTTTCTTATTTAAAAGACGCTTTAATGGAACGTTGAACCAAGCGGCTCGATGCTTGCATGAGATTACGCGTAAAGGTATGCATTTTTGTACTAAATCATTGACCTTGTTCCTAAAAAGATACCAATTAGTTGCGATAGTGCGTTCCGAAAAATCCAGCATGTATTCATCTAAAAACACTTCAAGCTCTCTGTTTATGGCTTGATAGTCGGCCTTGTTGTAGTCCCTAATATACTTTGGCTTACTGACTGAACGATGAACAGATCCTTTAAGAGTGAAATTAATAAAACAATGATCACTTAGACCGGGCAAGTAGGTTATTGAGTTAACCAAGTCAGGAGATGTTGTCAAAATGAGATCAAGAATATTGGCACTCGATAATGAAGTTCGTGTAGGCTCCGTTACCATTTGGGAAAAATTAAAATCAGAGCAATGGTTTACAAATGCCGTAGATTCACTATGTGACTCGGAAACAACTGGGCATGAATCATTCCAAAGTATTTTCGGAAAGTTGAAGTCCCCGGGACAACATGCCCCGATTTATAAATTATATCAATATAAACAGTTCTTTTATTCTAAATCTTCCTATAAAGGACAATCGATGTGTAGTCCAATCAGTACTTAGTGCAATGACGGTCACTGTAAACCGAGGCCTGGTGAAATCAGCCTGCAGCTGATGTTATATGAAGCGGAAATTAAAATGCGCCACTGTACTGGAGTTAGAGATTTCATACACTTGCCTCTAAAAGTCTGAGCGGTGCTTTATGACGAAGAGACCTATGTACCCTCTCTGTGTAGACCTCGAGATATTAGAGGCTCTGAACAAAAACGCCGATTGTTTTCGTCTCTTTACGAAGTACAACGGAATGTTAGGTGTCGAAAAATGTTACGTAATTTAACATTTTTCTCTAAATTTAGTTTTTACAGATGCCAGTATAAACGTTTTATAAAGGTATTAGCAGAAGGGCGGAAAAAATTGGTTGTCAAGTTGCGATAATAAAAAAAAGAATTACTGCTAAGCTACGCGGTGGAGTACTTAGTTCCAACATTGTATCCCGTGACGTCCTAAAATTTTGCTGTCCGTAGTTTAGGGGTCTTCTTGCGAATAAGAAATAATCGCGCCTCTCTTGCGTGTGCTTTCACTTGGTGAAGAATATTTTCATTTATAAAGAAAGTTTAATAAAAAAGAAAAAAAGACGTAAGCCGCGTTTTCCGTATATCGCCGGAACAAAGGATGAATCATTTCCGCCTCGCTTTTCGAACATATTTGAGAATTTTATGAGATCGCACTCTCGTAGACAATACAGGTGTCGGCAGCTCGCTAAACGGTTCATTCAAACTTCCCATTGCCACGACTGTCCAAATCACATAAAGCAAGCACTGTTCAGGTCCACCTTGTGCTTCTAGAAGTGTGGGACTATGTTTGTAGCCATCACTAGATGTCTAGAAACATAGATGACTGCTATCTGAATGGCGATAACTAATATTGTTGATTCCATTCCTGCCGTAACTAATTATAACTTTAAACGGGTAGGAATCAATCGTTTAAATACACGTGTAAATTCTAAATTCCAGAGCAGATCGTGCACTATATGCGATGTCAAATTAAAACCGCTGCACTCAACAGAGAAAAGGAGACTACCAACAATATAACTGAGTGATGCACAGCCATTTATTGTGACCATAAAAATAACCATAACAAAAATAACTGCTTTTCAGGCGTCCGTAGAAATGCGTACTCAATTTCACCGTAAGGGCGAGCAAATGAGGAGGAGCGAAAGCGAGTTTGACACTTCAGACGTACCCGTAATGCACGCGTCCTCGAGAACAGAAAGCGTCGTTCGAGACAACTCGTTCGTGTTTGTAGCATCAGCTCGCTCAAATTTATGGGAAAAAGAAAAGAACTTTCGGCGACGCAGCTGACGCTCAAGAGACTCTCGAAACACTCTCGACGCGGTTGCATTGAACCGTCTCACCTTCGTCACAAAGAAAGAACGTCGAGAACTCCACACGACGACTGGAACAACACGCAGCAATTGCCCCCAGGCCACCTTGGCGGGTCCCTATCATTTCGTCGAAACTCGTTTCGTGGAATTACGTTTCGTGGACAACGTTTCGTGGACACACGTTTCATGGACACACGTTTCGTCGACAGTGTGACGTTTCATCGACAATCGTTTCGTCGACAGCACCACCGTAAAACGTTTCGTCGACAAAAATTTTTTTTTTTTTGCGGTTTTGAAAGGAATGCCGGAAACTTAAGGTACATGTAAAATAATTTAATTATGACTTTGTTCCTGAGTGAGAGCGATGAAAAGGACATGCTGGATCGCGAAAGGAACGGGGCAGCAGAACGAAGACAACGAAGTGCGCAACGATATAGCCTCAACGAATACCGAACGACGCAATACATACCGAACGCCTCAACGGATAAGAACGTTTTTCAACAATGTAAATATTGTACATAAACCGTTTTATTCCTTCTCTTAACGCTATCTAACGGTACATGCGCTTGTAACAGATGAAAAGGACGATGTCTAGCGCAGTTGCTCTCCAAGGTGAGCAACTGCGCTATCCTCTCGCTCTCATCCGTGTCAGATGGAAAAGCAAGAGCGCGCAGGACTTCGCGCGCGGCCTATTCGAATATTTGCAAGTTCCGATGCCCGTTTATGGAACCGAAAGTTACTGGAAGAAGAAAAGTGGTGGAGAAAAATATGCGTAAGCACAAAGCAAAACTTCGATCCAATGGTGGGTTGCGGAAAAGGGCGTAAACACTGTTTTTTTTTCTCTTCATATTGGTTATTTTTAAACAAAAATACAGCTTGCAGCCTTTTATTGCAACATTACAACCCTAATACTTCAATTGAAATTAAGCGTGTTCATTACCCTCAATTATTCAAAACGAAAAGTGATGCAGTGTTTTACTGGCTACTGCGGCTTATACGCGAAAAAACTGTTTAGTCACACTAGTTTCATCGTCATGTATCCTTAAGGGCCGATTAAAAAGGACATTACACAATAAGGGGGCTGTAAACAATGTCAAATAAAAATAAATAACAAAAGCACGAAAACCAATAACACTCGCACTACCGGGAGCGCGCTGCCCGCCAGTAAACCAAAAAAAAAAAAAAAGCTTACATTGCAATGCAAAAAATAAATAAACAAACAAACGCGATAATTGGTTACAGATAAATAAAACAGTACACGAAGTTTAGTCGTATTACACAAAGTAAACCATAGTTGATATCGAATGTGTATCTTAATCCATTATATAGCTTCTCTCGAGCAGCCGCCACATGCAAGGCCTTGGAGGCAGTAGTACCACTAGATGAAATCTGTCGGTAACAGCCACACGCGACATTAAATTGTTATTTTATCGATGCCAGCAGACAGATACCTGGGGCAAGTTCGTAGCTCTTTTCATAAAAGAGCGGCTTCCAAATCTAATGTTCTTTGGTCACATATTGGCTTATCTGCATGCAAAATTTCAGTACAGGCATAACATATGGAGAACTATTGTGTTATTCATAATCGAGAAGCTAAATATGCTAAAGACTAAAAATTGTATGCGGTCTGGTAAGTACAGTACGTTGGATACCCAGTGTTTGGAGAAGAAAACAACCGTGTTTTATCGCCGTAAAAATAAACCACGCGTAGGAAAATGCTCAGTCTCCTTGAAAGTTTATTGCTAGCGGCTAAGTGCAGATGCCAATTAGCTTGAAAACCGATTTTATGCCATTTTCAACGGTAGGAAGGCTGTGTGCACCGCAAACAGGCCTCTTTGATTCTTTCAAATTTTCTTTAAGAGCTTCAGTGTTTTGACGTGTGGACTATCTATGCTATGTTCAGGTGGCTCTTGAGTGTTCTGCCAGAAGACGCGACGCGCGAAAAGATACGCTTGCTCTGGAAATGACCCAGCCACTTTTTCAAAACAGTCGGAGTGCCGGCGGCCAGTCCGCGAAGGGTTGCACTCGATGACGTACAGACACCTCGATCACGTATGCTGCCGAAAGCGTAGCCCTCAAGAGCTGCGCATATTGTTGAATGTTTTAAAAATCTAATTTGAGAAAGGACACTGGGGGGGGGGGGGGGGGGGGTCGATAACAAAACTTCCCGGCTTTGGCAACGCTTCCCCAAAGGTTCGGGCAAAGACACGAGCGAAACCATTCAAGTCGTAAGTTCCGAAATCAGTGCAATCGGCGAGCTCCCCCCTCCCCCCCCCCCCACCCCCCCCCTCCCCCCCCCCCCAAAAAAAAAGAATAAGCAAAAAAAAATTGATAGTTTAAATTGGTGAGGCAAGATGGCTGCGCACTGGTTCGCCATACTTGGCCCAGTCGGCCATCTTTCATCCATCCATCCATCCAACACAAGGCCGCGCGAGGAGGCGCAGCTGGCGGAGCTTGCAGAGCGAGCTGTCGACGAAACGTCGCAACATCTGTCGATGAAACGAGCACTCGCTCGTTTCCACGAACGATCTGTCGATGAAACATCGCAGTGTCGACGAAACGATTTGTCCATGAAACGTCGTTCGACGAATTGATTGCCACCGCACCTTGGCCGCTGTTATGGCGGCTGCCAAGTTGTGCCCCTTGCCAAAGCCCCAGTCGCAGTCGTAGTAATATTTTGAAAGCGTTCGAAGCGACTGATAGTTTTAGAAATACGTAAAATAAAGTAAAACTATTTCTAAATGGCGCGAGTATAAAGGATATATAAATAATGAGGCACCACTGCGCCAGCTGTAGCGGGTGTTGTGAATCCCAATCACTGGGCTGCGATAGGTGCTTCAGAGGCCGCTCTTTACGTATCACTATATCACCCTATGCACGACCTGTAAACATAAGCACCCCGCTTACAAACACCAGGTCCTGAACACCGCGCGCGCGCAGAACGTCAGAAAATTGAGGTGGTGGGCCGTCAGTAGGCGCCGTAGAAAATTGAGCACAACGCCTTTATATCCAGGTTGCGTTGGTCAGGCCACACTTATACTCGGACATGTACACATTACCCCCCAAAGAGTAACTAAATACTGTTACCCAACACTCGCTCAAAAAGTAACTAAATACATTACCCATTACTTATTCTCACAAGGAACGCGCTACTTTACCTTAAAAGTAACGAATTACTTTTTTGTTACTTCCTTCTTACGCGTCACCCCTTCTCCAGAGATTATTTTCGCCATTCTTGTAGAGCTCGCTTGCACCTTTGAATTAATCGCATTCTCATAAAACACACAAGTGTTTTGTTTAATGAAATATTCTTTTCATTTCAGTAGTCGTTCGTGATAAGCAGTAGCTGACTCTGGAAGTTTTTCCTCAGTATCATATTCCCCGCTTCCTTGAGAATACGTATCCGGCGACGGTGAAGAGCCGTTCTACTGACGCGCTCGAAGGAATGGCAGTGTTGTGCTTCAGGAAGAGCTGGTGAATCTCGGATTATCCTCTCTCTCTTTTGTCCTCTCTGCTTCTAGAGTTCCAAGTTGACAATGGGTTATGTGCCTTCTCGCGTTGCCTACCTCCGGGTTTATATTAGGTCTGTACACGAGTCTAGAGGGTTCAACCAAGGAAACGTATTGTGTTCTCTGGGTGAAGGACATTCCTGACTGTAGAGTTCGACTTAAGTGTTCAGCGATAAACGTTGCTATACTGTCATACTGTTTAGTGTATATTTCGGGTTGTCCATCTGCCTTTGTTGGGGTAGACGCGTGCTCAGGTTCGAATTAAAACGAGGCACTCCAGACGTTGTTGGACACGTTACGCCTCAAAAGTAACGACGAAATAACATTACTCGTTACTTGTCCTTAAAAGTAACTAAGTACGTTACTCGTTCGTTTTCCAAAAAAAGTAACTAAATGCGTTACTCGATACATAGAATAGTAACTAAGTACAAGTAACTTGTTACCAGTAACGCGTTACGTACATGTGTGGTTATATAACTTTTTCCGAATCCGCCGCCGTTGTACAGTCGGCACAAGAAAAAGAGTCGCGACACGCGGCGCCGCGTTGGCGGACATACACAGAGAGTGAGGGTGAGTAGGTAGTTTTTACCTTTTAATTTAACGGGTGCTCAGCACGGAGTTATCGCTTGCAAGTAGTCTTTATTTACTAGATTGATACTGTCATTTATGACGCTATCCAGTTCGGCATTCTAAACCACGAACAACGTTGAAATAGTGTAAAACAGAAAATACAGTGATGTTGGAACAACAAACAAGCAAAATAAGACCATCTGGGCACCGGCCTTGCTGTCGATCCTTTCTGATAACATTTTTTAGTGTCAACTGTATGTTCGGCGAACATTAATGTATCTCGAAATTCCTCACATTGGATTGTTTTATGAAAAATTACCTTTTGCTTCGGTTAATGAAGGCGGTGCTATGAAAGAAAGGTCTTGGTCGTTTGGCGGCTCTTTTACTTGTACCCTCTTCCGATGCAGAGCTGCTGAAAAAGAGTGCCCCGAGTCGTGTCATCAACCTGTCGTCTATTCTTCACCACATCGGAAGCACGGCGAATCTGCACGACAAAGCCACGGGCAACCACCCCTGGACCCATCCGGTGCTTGTGTACAGCAACACCAAGATGGCCATGCTTGTCTTCAGCAGAGCCCTCGCCGCCAAGCTCAAGCCTCACGGTAAGACATGTGCACGGTGGAATAAGACAGGTGTGTAAGCATGGCCAGCTAAAGCGGCTAAAGTTTCCTCGGGCTTGGCGCGCCTCCCGGCAGGGGGCACTATCGATTTAGAAGTTTTCGCGTAGGCGCGGCTTTGAAAGCCTGTGCGCCAATAAGCATGATTCTCTGGTGGGCTATAGAAAGGAAGCGTGACTATGGCACGGGCCAGCGGAGTCCCGCAATTTCTTAGCATAAAGCGCAGCTTAACCGGTATGGTGGAAGCAGCGCCACATTGCACTTCTGGGCATCACAGAAGCAAGACAATTCCAACAAAAATGGGCAGATTCAGCATATTTGCCACATGGTAGAGGTACTGTTCAGCCGTAAATAAAAACACGACGTCTTACGTTTTTTTACATTTTTTGTCTGTTAAGTTTTGTTTAGAACTAAATTTTCAAGGAATTAATCGCACTTGTGACGTTGCTGCCAGCACACCAATGGTACAATGAGGGTAGAGAAACACAAGGCATGAACCATACTTGGGACCGCTCTCAGCCAGAGATGGCAAAATTACTTTCAATAAGTAATTAAATTACATTACTAATTACTCTCATGAAAACTCCAAAAATGTAATTCAATTACATTACAATTTACCGCAGGCTAAAGGTAATGACATTACATTATAATTACTTTCCAAAAGTAAAGAAATCGCTTCGAAATTACTTTTATATTACTTTTGAATACCTTGAGGTAGTAATTAGTGCTCATTTCATTTACCATGTACACCAACAAAGTGTTTGCAAAACAAGCCCTCGATTGCCCACACGGCACGTGTGCAGCAACCAAATCCGTGAAAACCGAGGCGCGGCGCATGTGCAGTGCCGACAGAAGCGCCACCACAGTGATGTGACGTCGAATAGCTGAGTTGGTTTATATGTACCAAAAGTCAGATTTCCCTGTTTGCACCGCAACAACCTTATATGCCTCAAAGTGAACCATACTGAACATACGACCTAAGCGCATACGACCTAAGTGTTAACCATGATGAATTGAGTCCGTAAGTGTGGCCTCATGGGTCCAAATAAACCGTTGCTAGGGTCGTTATTATGGACAAATACATGTGGCGAGATGTCACTACGAAAGCCCGACCGTTCAAAAACCAGGAATAGGATTTAAACTTCCAAAAGTCACAGATATAGAAAGCTTGAATGTCAAATATGTTTCGACAGAAGTGTCGCGATACTCGCTTGTTTCTTAAATATTTACGACTGCAAGTTCCGGTCCTCAAGATGCCTGCAGCAGATGACGAATGCAAGAAGTATGCCGTCTGCCACACGCCGGCCGGCCAAGCTGGCGCCGTTGTTCGCATCTTGCGAATAAAGACGATAATTTGATATTGCATTTGTTTGAAATATAATGAGTTTCAGACAGTTATAAGAATTCTTAGTGGGGTGCGATGAAAAATATGGTTTGTCGAAAGTCCGGGCGTCGATCGAGATGATCGCCTGCTAAAAGTTCGCATTGCACATATGAGAAAACCACTTCAGGCGATCGGTTGAAATCCCAAATTTTATTTGCGGACTCGCGCTATGGAAGGGTACTTTGCACCTGGTTGTAACCATCGTGTGGAGAAAGATTCTTGCAGTTTCTTCAGATTTCCGCAAGACCCCAAAAGCGCGAAAGAACTGGATAAAAAACGTAAGCTGAGTTTAGTACACACTGCATTTGAATCGCGGGTTCGATGGAGATCTTCACCCAAGGGGCACATCCACGTAATTTGATGTATTCTAAGGGGGAAAAAGCAATATTTCGCGAAATCGCGATAGACATGCAATTCTTTAATAACCTGTTAACCCCAATAATAATAATAATAAACGACTTACCTCGACCGCGTACGATTTGTTTCTCGTGCTGGCCTGCACTACGCCGGTAATGCACTTCAGGTCGTCGTCGTAACTGATCTGCATGACGTGGTTTGATTTTATGGCATTTTCACCCCTGTATACAAAGCTGAGTCCTTGACAAAAAAAAGAAAAAAACACTATGCGGAGGCCTTTGCGGCCATGGCGATGCACTTGTTTTTGTCGTTCGTTTACCGGCGCTATTCACTGAAGACATTCGCTGCAACGGAGGCCAGCAAATCTAACGTGTCGTCTGCTACCAAAGCAAAGCGGAGTGTGATACTCCAAAAATGCATTTTATCGTTGCAATACGACACTGGAATGACAATAACGTCTTCATATCTAGATATCGAGAAGTTAGGTTGATCACAAAAAAAATATTTACTTACTTGTAAGTAAAAAGCTACCCTCTTGTGGAGTCTCCATGCATTAGTCCATAGCAACGTCCCTAGCAACGTTTTGTTTGGACCCAGATTCCATGTTGTGACGTAGTCACCTACGGGGTTAATAGATTCTTTAGATGTGACTCAAAGATAGTCGACTCACCGGTTTCGCTGTTCATTCAACGGAGGGTGACATGTTTCCGTTTTTTCTGATTTAGAACTGTTATAGTCCTTGTCAGTATGTTAAGATCGAACTATGAAAGCCCGCTTTTACTAAAAGTCGTCACATGCTACGTTTCCTTCCCGTCTTGAACACGATCTAATCCTAGTCTCGAAGGTGCACTGGTTGACGTATTTCCGGTCATCCCTCTCAAGAAGTATTGTTCCCAAACACCCCAAGAGCGCAAGTTATTACGCGTTGTTACACAAAGGGGCCGGACATTTGCTAGGCAGAAGCTTCTCCAGTTGAGGAAAGAGATGGCGGGAGCTTCGAAAAAGGTCCATTTTCCCAACGAAGAGGTGGCGATATCTGCTCGTAGGCTTATTCCCCAATAAACTTCCCAAGGAAAGGCAGCGAGGCATATCTCGAGCGACACCTGCTTTGCTCGACTTTCGTCCTTCCTGACTACAAAACACCTTTTCTTAAAGTAAAAAATATGCAAGAAACTTTCTGGGCCTTTGAAAAGGAATTTGAGATTAACTATTTATTCCGCTTGTTAGTTGTTTACAATGATCGAAGCTTATGGTTTGACCTTACTTTACGAAAGAGCAAGGGGGCTGGGGATCTGTTCGTACTGTCCTCTCGGGTTTTAAAATGTGTTGACCTCACTGGTGATGTGCGTTTCGCCTTGATGCCTATGAGTCGTTCATTCCAAGGCTGACAGTGAGGTAGAAGCTACGTGCTCGTAGGAGCGGTCACACGCGTATCTTTCCACACGTAACCACGCTCTAGTTCATACCTCCCGCAGAGAAAGGGACGGGTCAGGTGATCAAATGGAGGTGATTGATAGGTCGTGGTAAGCTCGTAGCTCCAACCGCGCTGTCAGCTCAGGGATGAACGAAGTAAGGTACCGTCTTGATGACGCGACGCCATGACTCTGTCCTGCCTGTAGTTTGTAAGCCTTTCCCTTCTAGCGATGTCTACGCGTAAGCTTTCTTCCTTCGCCATTCCAGCCCTCCTTTGTGTGCCTGTTCAGCTCTTCGTACGAGGCTTTGCGCTCAAGTGGCTGTCAATTATTTCCTCTGATAATCTTTCACAACACTTCACCATGCAAAATAATTGTTCTCTTTTTCAAAGCTTGCAAACAAACTTTCTAATTTAGGACAAAAGTAATTTCAAAAGTAATCAGTAATTTTTTCGGAATTATTGCCTGAAAGTAATTCATTACATTACTAAATTACTAGCCTAAAGAAGTAATTCATTACATCACTCATTACTCCAAAAAGTAATTTAATTACAGTAATTCCATTACAGTAATGTCGTTACTGCCATCTCTGCTCTCAGCCGCTGGGAGAAGCAAGAAATGGCCTCACCTCTTGCTTACCCTACCGGTTTCTCGAGTGGCTCTCACGGTCTTCCTGATGCCCAAGTTAAGATGCCCCTAGACACGTCGCGCCATCTCACGGTGTTTGCCAGAAAGGCGAGCGAACCATCGCCACAATTGCACCCTGGCGAGGCGCCGCCGTTCAGACCACTTTTTCTCCTTTCGCCGTGGATGGGACTCGCCCAGCAGTAATAGAGAGTTTTAGCGAGCCGTTTCGACGCGAACGGTTCGTCCACGAACGCATCGGCGACTCTACTGCGCATGCGCGCGCCAGTCGTTGGGGGCTTCGGGAGGCTCTTCTCGTTCGTTTCTCCCGCTTCAACCGCTGGAGTTATCACCGTAACGCAGACAGCACCTTTCAGGACTCGAGTAAAAAAAATATGGCGGTCGGTTTGTCCGCTGCCCCAGCCGAGCGTTAGGCTTAGGACAGCGAAAAGCGATTTGCCATCCTGTTACTCTGCTTCATTTGAGAGGTTGGACCAAATCACTTCGAGGAGTGCTCACAAATGTAAGCGATCGTGACTGCCGTAAACTATGCGCATGCTAGTAAATTTTTCGGGATCTGCGGGCTGACTAGCTCCCGTGGCGACCGCGAGCAGGCGAAATGATTTTTCCGACGACACAGAACGTGAACGAACGTTCAAGTTCAAGATGACGGAGACGCACCACCTACCTTGGCGCTCGTTCGGATACTTTTAAGCTCTATCTTGCTTCGTGGGTTTTGAAATTCTGGCCGGTAATTGTTACGTTGGCCGTCTTGTTTACGTAAGTCGTGCGCTGGAAACACGAGCCCCACGGATTTGCACGGTGCAGAATGTTTCACATGCTTACTAGAAGATGCCGCTTCCGGTCAAACGCAATCACCATCATCCTTTATACGGTTGCGCCAACTTTTCAATTCGCTAAATTGTGATAAATTTCATGTACGGTTTCTTGGAACGGACCAGCTGCACCGTTCTTGATTTTGGAACCACGTGTTCCAGAAACGACTCACTAAAACTCCATATTATTGGGGAGTTTCCGTGGATCGTTTCCGCCGTCCCGCAACGGCACCGGAACACGCTAGAAGATCAGGAACTCTGAACACAGGTTGCAGAAGTGTTGTAAGTTGGGCGAGTTGGTATGAAGACATATTAAATAAAACTACGCACAGAAAAAACAAAAACAAGGACAGAGAGAAGGAACATGCACAA